GAGAATAAACCCTGTGACTTGGACATGACCTTTATGACTCAACATTGAACTCGCACACGACCTTTGGGAACAGACTTGGCCTCTGTAACTTGCTCATGACTTGTTTGACTCAGACATGGCCTTTGTGACTCAGGCACGGGTTTTTATGCCTTTGAGGTGACCAACTTACATTTGGAAAGTCAAACATGACCTCTGTCACTCGGATATAACCTCTATGACTTGGATACGATTTTAAGAGCTTGAAAAGGACCAGTTCTACTGTGACAATGACCTTCCTGACTCAGACACACATAAGTTGTTTGATTTGAAAATGATCTTCAGAAATTTGACATGATCTTTATTATGGCTTTGGTGTGACCTGTGACACACCTGATGGTCTAGCCAGACGGTGCAACACAATAAAAAACAACAACAACACATTTAACCTGTCAAACAGAAGTGAAAGCTTCTGTGAGTCTTAAGAGGAAAAGACAAAACAGAAAGAAAGACAGAGGTGGACAGGGAGAGAGTGAAAATGGCAGAGCGAGGTAGCAATTGTATAGCAGCGTGCCAGCCAGTTCTCAGGTTGCAGGTCAGGGATGTCTGTTGGTTTTGCTTTAGCACAGGATTCAATCCTTGTCTAACGCCAGCTTATTTATAGCTCACTCGCCCTCTAATTTAGTGTCTTTTGCTCTCTCTTTCTTGAACAGTCAGAGCACGGACTTGCTATCCAGAATACCAACAATATCTGTTCACGTCACTTTAAAGCCACACAGTTTTTGAAACATCATATTTGATAGCAGCTAAGCTAACAGTAACGCTAACAGTGCCAGCAGCTGCTGCTCAATGCCACAGGATGAACATTCATTCACTCACGCGACTTCTCTCCCAGCTATTATTTCTTTCTCCTTTTCTTTTTTTCCCCCTCTGCTATCACCCTTTCCCTCTCCACCTTTCTATCTCTCTCGCCCCATCTCTCCTCTCCTGCCAGGTCTGTTGTATGTAATTTATTTTCGGTGCACAAACAGCTCACTGTAAATAGAAGCTGTTAAGCTGCTCCAGCACTCTGTTTTAATAGACCCATGTTTGGTTATGTAATGATTAAATAGCTGACCTGCGCTTTAATTGCGTCATAAATCACTGAACGTGGTTTCACTGTCTCATAAAGCATGAATAAACTGGTGGAGGTGGGCACGGTCAGAAAGCCAAGGTCAAAGGTCAGACTAGAGTATTTACAGTGGCAGTCGTTACAAGTTGCACTTTATATATTCATGCTCTGCTACAGGTGCTGTCAACGAAGTCTTAAAATGCCTGCGAAAGTCTTACATTTAGATCATTTTAAAGCCTTTTCAAGACAGTTAATAGATATTTATATGGTGTAATGAAGGTATCTGTACAATAATTTAGCTTGTTTATGCTTCCGTAGCTTTAGTCAGATGAATTTCAAACCAGGAACTTTCTCAGATTTCAGCTGGAGACACTCGACAGCTGTAGCTCTTAAAAGAATCCAAGCAGCAACATGGATTCTGCTGGAGAACTAGTCCAGCCTTAACAAGAATCAGACTGGTCCCAGACCAGTTTAACACCAGTTAAGATTCAGAAAACTGGGACAATTTAATGTCAGGTCAAGACAAGATGTCTGTGAAACCTGTGCCCTTGACCTCAACCTTCGTTGGACAGGTCACGACAAGGTTCAGTCTTACTTAATAAACACCCAGCGCTCTGTGTGTGTGTGTGTGTGTGTGTGTGTGTGTGTGTGTGACTTCTACCTGAAACCCTTAAAGGTTTAAAAGCAGCCATGACTGCCCAGTTATAAACACCTGAGCTTGTGTGTTTGTGAATCTATTTTCCTGCATTTATGCCAGGTGTACTCTGTCCACGCCTGGTGTGTGTATGTGTGTGCTGCCCTGAAATGGCAGCTTGTGAAACCGACCCCCAACGCCCCTGCAGTCTCTAGCTGGCAACCTCTGGCCCCTGTAGGGTTCAGGACCCCGCTAACAGATGTCCAGCTGTTGTCTGCAGAGACAGGTGGTGGGAGATGGACGCCGCAGCTCTGCTTTGATTTTGCGTGTGTCTGTAAAGAAACAGTCAACATCAAAACGCACTCCTGCTCCTGTGCTCCTGCAACACAAACCTGCAGCCTGTAGCGGTAGAGTTAGATCACAGACTCACTAGAACCGATAATGCTCGACAAACAAGCAAAATGTTGTATAATGTACACAAATGAGCTTGTTTTAACCACAATCATTCCGTTATTCGTTAATTTAGCTTAGCCACCGCTAACACCAGCTGCTTAAATGTTATGTTTACTATTCTACCAACCAAATGTGTTTGCATTAATGTGACTGTCAATTAAACACAAACTAGTCTGGCTAACTGCATCCACTCGCATCTCATCTTTGTCTGGATCCCATTATCTGTTTTAGAGTTCATGCTCATCTCACAACACTACTGCATATCTGCAGCCGTCTATCTCTGTTGTTTACTTTCTAATAGACCTATAGATTTACTTCTGCATTTGTTTGCACAAATCATACAAAACATCCGACTGCAGAGACAAAGTATGCCGCGCCCGTCCTCGTTAGCAGTGACCATGCCATTCCTCCTGCCTAGTGAAGACGAACGATGAATGAATGAAATGTCCGCTGTCACTACGGCAGCCCCTGGATGAACGACCTGAAAATAACACGTAAATACACACCACGCTGTGGTTCCCGGTCTGCTGTCTGTGTTTAGCTTTACAATGTTAAAATGGGCATGTGTGCGTTTATAGGAAGAAGAAGAAAAACGGGGAGGCCAAAAGAGGAGAGTGAATGTTGATTGAAGGAATTTATGGCCACATTTAAGCCACGTTAAGTGTGTGTGTGTGTGTGCGCGTGTGTCGCCCTCGCTCTGATCCTCCTCAGTAATGTATAAAGTATTAATAGAAAGCACACACACCGAGGCATGACAAGCAGGTGAAGGATGCGTCCTGTGGCTTCAGCGTCTGTGACTGTAGAGATGACGGACATACCAGCCAGCTTACAGCACGTGCTCTTTACCGAATACTCACGCGCACACACGCACACACACACACATACTCAAACACACAACAGATGTAAACAGATTAAAACCTTAAATCTCGAGGTGAGTCACAGTTTTTACTGTAACTGCAGTTATTTGTAAGACAAAACAAAGTCGTAAACCTCCTGCTTTAACTCCGACCTACTCTGCTTACTGTAGTAACACAGTTTTCATATGCGATGAGGGATTTTTACTAACATTTTGGTTTGAGTTAATTAATTTAGGTTGCTTAGGTTGCTGTCTTTGCCTGTCTGATTGTCTGTCTGACTTGCTTTTAGTGAGATTTAGAAACGGACAAAACTGTGAAAATAGGACCCACGTTGTAATGAACCTCTTGAAATCTCATTCTTTTGCTTTAATGAAAGTGATCTGATTACACGCGATTTATTATTTAACAGGCCCTGAATGTGTTTCACTGCCTTCAGCTCCTCTCTGGCTGCACAATAGAAACCGCTTATGAATAGAAATACATTTAAACCCCTCATTATGGACGTCAACTGTCAGGAGGTTTCGGCCCAAGGCTGCTGTGCGTGTGTGTGTGTGTTATATTATCCAGTTTGCTGTGAGCACCTCTTTTCACATGTAGGTGTGTGTCAGAGATTAGGTGTGTATTCATGTACATTTGGCTTCACCTGTGTGTGTGTGTGTGTGTGTGTGTGTGTGTGTGTGTGTGTGTGTCTCCAAGGCTGGCATTCGTCACAGCGGCTGCTCTCTGTTCCCAGACTCTGAATGTATTCATGAGTTAGCTGTTGACTCAGGTAGTTAGTTCACCTGTTCACACACAGACGCATATAAAGCCCACACATACACACACACGCACACGCACTCCTGCTGTGTCTTTGTCCAGACATTCAACAAAACTTGCCAAATTTCCCTCCTCGGCCCTATCCCTCCATCTCCCTCGTCCCTTTGTACAGTTAAACTCCCATGATGCTCAGCAAACGGGGACCTTTGAAGTCAGCTGGGGTGGGGGGATGAGGGGGGATTTCCTGACGTCTAGTTTTGTCCAGATCTCAGAGTCAAAGTGAACAGACGGCAGTTTTCTTGGCGGTGGGAGGGGAAGGTTTGGAAGACGACGCCTCTCTGTTCTCTCTGCCAGGATCCCTGTCAGTTACGTAACGTTAAATCTGACTCATTCAGGCCGGACTGCAGCAAAATGATGCTGATGATCACACAACCACCAACCATGCTTTATTCATATAATACCTACAGCAACAGACCCTCCAGGAATTCACGGGCCTAACCTGTGGTGATGGCACATAGATGACGTGCTTACCTTTGGTGTGGGAGACCTGGGTTCGATTCCCACACTTAACCCCTAGTTGCTCCAGAGGCGTGCGACCTCTGACGTGTATAGCAATTGTAAGTCGCTTTGGATAAAAGCGTCAGCTAAATGAATAAATGTAACCGTAACCCTGCATGTTGAACCCAGCTGACCTCGATTCTTTCAGGACTTGCAAATGACTGTGATGCAGCAGCCTGTGTCACAGTGGTTTATCTCGTTTGACATCCTCCATGCTTTTCGGCCATTCTCTGCTTATTGTCCAAAGAGGATTTCCTTAACGTTTAGCAAAACAGTTGACCCCCCTGCTGGTAAAGAACACCTGGATCCCCGTTCTTCACGGCCCTAAGCTGTTGTTTTTGCCAGCAAATGTGAGACGTCGGTATCACACATGTCTGCTACGTCTTCTAAACAAGGAAGTGAGTTTGATGAATTGTGACGTTTTGCAGGAAAAAGCGATGATGAATTTATCATTTTATCAGAGGGCACCATATTGAGACTGATGTGTTCCAGTGGATTTGATAAACTGTACTGTCTGTTTGTGAGTATGGCGGATTGGTTCCTCCCGATCATTTCTGATTAATTGCACATGGCATTAGTCGGGGAAAAAAAGGTTGTGGTGGATCAGATAAGTTGTTAGTGGTTCTGATTGGTTGTTTTCTGCTGTTTTATTTAGCAGAAAGATGATGTCAGCCTATCGGAGGGCAGTACGGTGGACCTGAGGAAGCCTGGGGAGGAAGAGGATGAATACTCAGAGATGGCTGAAGAGGCCATGGACCCAGACAACTGCTTCCCGGACAGTAAGCGCGCACACACACACACACACACAGTTAGGAGTCTCTTGAAATTGTAGATGATCGTTCATAATAATTGTGTCGTACAAGCCTGTTACAGACGATTTAGGAAACACACATTATGACATATTACAAAATATTGTTATCTTATTATAAAACAATAGTATAGTCTGATGCTGAAATGTTATTCAATTAATTAACCACAATTTTGATAATTGATTATTGGTCATTTATCATGCAAATATGTCAAAACCCCTCTGAAATATAAGGATTTGCAGATTTCCTCTGTTTTCATTGTGAAATGAAAATGTGTGGGTGTCAGACTGTTGGTCAAACAAAATAAGTCATTTGAATGCTTTACCCTGTGGTCTGGAAACATCTGTAGTGACTAAAATATCAATTTATTGCTCAGGAATGAATAATAATTTCAGCCTTACAAATGGATTTTTGAGGGTGTTATTTAAAAGACACATCTTCATATGCCCCACTGAACCAAAAACTTCACATTACATATTAACGCAAACATATAAGCAGCCTGCAATAAAAAAAATAAAAAATAAGGATGTGGATAATTTTTTGTAAATATAGTGAGCGAAAAGAAGTTGTGTGCCCAGATGAAACCATACAAGTGCGTATACCACCACCCACTTGCCCCAATACTTTCATAGTGAGATTTATGATGCTGCTCTGACTAACCCAGGTGAAAAGCAAACACCTTGTTTCCTTCCTGACTCAGCCAGCGTCCCCCTGGAGCATACATATTTGTCACAGCTAGCATGGCCACACATACAGAGAAACAAAGGCTGGGGGAACACTGGCATACTATTGGGCTCCCAGCAGCCAATGAAATCCCAGAAATGAAATCCCTACAGAGCCGAGATAAACTATGACGTGTTATCTTCTGTTGGTGGCCAAAGAACTGCAAGTACGAGACAATATTATTTCTGTCACCATGCAGGCGACATGCAGCTGTACATTTACGTATTACCCAATTATGTAACCCTACTGACAAAGTTGTTTGATCAGCAGTTGGTCCTCTTTGAACATCTTCGACCGAGTGTCACCTTTAGTTTTTGCAGCGAATACGAATGCAAAGCTGGATTTAAAGTGCCAGTTGAAACTTTTCAGCCGATTTATGCTCAGGTTTTGTTGACAATAGATGACTGTGGCTCAACAAAACCCTGAAATATTCTGGTGTACAGATACTATTAAAAATGAAGCGGATGTTTAAATTGGATGTGTTTAAGTTTGATAACTTATCAAAAGCGAGGAAAAGAGGGCCATCTGATGGATTCTTAGAGGTTTTGTTTAAAAATGCAGGAGTATTCTGGACCTGGTTTATATTAATGGTGTTTTGTAAGCCAGTCAGGTCAGAAAGGATTATCAGTTTAATCCAATTCATCGTGGCATAAACGTGGTTGGTTATCACTTCTGTGATGTTCTTTGCAGTCAGCTAACTGTTTTCTTCCTTTTACATCTAGTCTATTTGGTGTAGTGTGTCAGCGTGATCCTGATTATTCCAATTATTGTCTAATTTGTCAAAATACGTCGCCGTTTTTGTGATGGTTAATGATGAATTTAGATTTGAAGTTGCCTTCAGACTGACCGTAAGTGCGTAGGTTGGTGGTTCATTATTCTTTTTCGCTGCAGGGTTTGAAACTGTGAGTCACATGATGGTTTGACTAACAATGAGCCCATTCCACCTCCCACTTGCCCCAATACTTTCATAACGAGATTTATGATCCTGTACTGACTAACCCAGGTGAGACGCAAACACCTTGGTTCCTTCCTGACTCAGCCAGTTTCCTCCTGATGCACTGAGATTTGTCTTAGACTCACTTCAGCACAGCTAGCGTGGCCAAGATAGAGAAACATGCAAGCAGGATTTTTTTAATTGATATTTCACATTTGACTTTCAAAGGTAACTTGAGGTTAAAAAAATAAAAAAACACGCTCAGAAAGAATTAGGGCAGCCAGCTGGAAAACCCTCTCCAAAGAACAAAAATAACACAAAAGCATCCCCAGCACCTGCAGTGAGTACATTACTCCAAAGTGTAACCAAACATCTTGTACTAGATGGTTTGAAACAAATACATTTGCACAGTGAGTTATGTTGAACCCATATAAACCAAAATACACCCAGATTTTAACCCATTTTCCGCCTGGATTTTATGTCCCTCTGCATCTAGAAGTTGATGTTTCTTGCTTCAATGGTGTTGTCTGCTGCAGTTAACTTCTCGCAGTGTGCCTTATGCAAAATCTGTCTAGATATTTAAGATATTTAAATTGGCTACACTGCTCATGAAATGACTGAAATTACAAACATTTTGGACACTTTCTGAAAATGTTGTCATCTCTGAATGCATGCATTACAAAGCTCGGTGCATTCAGCAGAGCAAAGGGATGCACCGCATGTTCGGCAACTGAAAATATTCATCTGGAAATAGCAAAAAAAAGTCAAACAAGTTCAGTTTGCTGAACAACTACGTTGACATGTCGGCAGTGTGGAAGCATTTTTAAAGTGTCAGAGAAAGACGCAAAAATCGCTGTTTGCTGAAAAATTGGGTCGGACTTGATGCATTCAGTGCGAGGATACACATGTGACAACGTCTGGTTTTCAAAATAAGGAAATAAGATTAATTGGATTACATTCACAGAAAGTATAAAACATATTACATGTGTCCATTAAAAGTAAATGGACACATGTGATTTACTTTACTGGACCCTCTCGGCCGCCAGACCCACCCACCATAGTTTCTCCAAATCTTGTGGGAAACTCTGAGGAAAAAGCACATGTTGACTATTTAATTTATGCAATGGTTAAAAAAAAAAAAAGGCAAAATAAATGTGAAAAATGTGAAAAACCTTGTTTGGGAAAGTTTTTCATTGTATTCGGTTTCGGCTTCAACCAAGCGGGGCATCCCTAGCAAAGATAATGTTAATGTTAGTAAAGATATCATACAGGAGCCAATTATAAATTATTAAAAAATTTGAATATTATAAAAACAAGGTCACAATAACAGACATAAATGCAGGTATTGATATTCATTTTCTCCCTGGAAATACTAAGAAAAAAAATATTGTGTTGTACCGCCCGCCACTACGTAGTTACAGGTTCAGAGTAAATCCAGAAGCGGGTCTGTTTCCTGTGAGAGGTGCTTTGGATGAAATTATCTGCCAAACAGCAGATGTTGTATTAGCTTTGATTCATTTAGAAGATTGATGCGTCCATCGCAACTGTCCCAACACGCCGCCTGGTTCTTCCTGACTCAGCAGAGTCCTTCACAGCAGGCAGACATATGTTACCAGCTGGACTCAGATCAGCTGCTGGAGCACCAACGGAAGAGGGATGAAACATGGACGAAACTCTTCCTTCACTCCACAGTTTTATCGTCAGCACGTCTGTGTTAGTAGGTGAGAAACACGGCGAGTTATTGAAGAGGAGGAAAAGGAAACAAAAGGACAAAAGAGAACACGAGAAAAGCAAAGGCGTGGAAGGAAAAAAACAAAGGAGAAGGAACAAAAGAAACTCAGAAGACGTGAGCAAAGTAGTTATGAGGGACATAGGAGAAAAGGGAGAAAAGAAGAAAAAGGCCAGGAAGGAAGGGAGGATTTAGAGAAAAGAGTTGAGGATGGAGAGGTGAAGAAGAACGAAAGGAGCGAAGGAGAGAAGGGAAATGTTGGAGATTAAAGTAAAGGAGAAAAGTATCATACTGTAAAAGAGAATAAAGGTGAAAAGAAGAGAGACATAAAAGATATAAAGATATGAGATATAAAGCTGTGAAATGTGAAAAGGGTTTTTTACCAATATATGCCTCAGGACAGAGCTTGGTTATATATTTAGTGCAGTCTGAAGATATGTCAAACAGCAATATTAGGTTGTCTTGACTCAATTGTTGAGGGATCAAATAACATGGTCGTGATCCCATAGGCATCCAGGAGCTGAGCGAAAATATGAAAGTAAACTAACGGGGTGTGAGAGGTCGACTTTTTCCAAGCTTTATCTTAGGGGAAAGTTTTAAAACCTCCTGCTCTAGATGAATAAAAAAAAAGGATAGCAGAGCGCAATAGAGGATAGGAGACAAGTGAAAAGGAAATGAGAGGAACGAAAAGAAGACGCTATAGAATAAAAAAACAAGAAAATCAAAAAAAGCAGAAGACTGAAGAAAGGACAGAACACAAGGAGGCAAGGAGACGATGACGACCTTTTGACTTTGCTGCCACCAACAGATTTAGGGGACAGCAACAGAAGTCGACCTCCTGCCTGGCTTCCCTACTGACTCAGCTCACACTGGACCAGTACCACCAGTATGCTGACACAGCACTGTGTGTGTGTGTGGGAGCAGTGGTTCATGCGAGTCTGCCAGCTGCTGCAGAAGTAGACCAGAAAAATTGACTAACAGCAGCAGGCAGAAGCCAGCTGTCTGCACGTCCTTACTAAATACTAGTAAGGACGCCGTTTGTGTTGGAGTGTGTGTTTGTATTTGTGGTTTTGCGGAGACAAAGTGGCCATCAGGACGTTGTAGTCCCAGGATGTTGGATGGCTGCCTGCCTCATTCATACAGCCAGTGTGCGCTGCTAACGTCGCCACACTACTGACCGTCTGAACTCGCGGTCATGTAGTCTCGATCCATTATGCTGGTGGAACTGACTCATTCATAGGGCTGGTTATGAAATATCAATACTTCTTTTTTACCCACCAAAATGTGCCCATGGCACCAATTATAGCAAACATTTAAGTACTGAAATTTGTCTTCTACTCTAGTGAACAGGAAACCTCCCGCAAAAAAAGTATTTGGTTCAATAAATCTGGAATTGTGCTGCAGAGCAAGCGAACATACATGCGTGTCATCCAGACATGTATGCATGTGTGTTTCTTTTATACTTTTACCGACTGGGGGTTTAACATACGGAAGAATTAATGATGCAACGCTGCAAGTAAATAACAGGCATGTGTTGCCCTTTAGGGGTTAGATTTAGATTTATTTGCTCTGCTACTTGGTAAG